ATTCATAACAATAGCTACTTTAGACAAGATTGGACACAAGAACCAACATTTTGAAACACTTATAAATATTTTTGCAAGCCTATCTAGTTTAAATAAGGAATAACAATCAGAGGCGTGCAAGATTTCAAACCACGTTACGAGAGTCAAGTATATTTAGTTCACTCCTCAAAGCATAGAACCTTGACTCGTCGAGAGGCTTTGTGAAGATATCGGCTAGTTCTTTTTCGGTGCTCACATTGTGAATTGTGATATCTCCTTTGGTTTCGTGGTCTCTCAAGAAATGATGACGGATGTCTATGTGCTTAGTTCTTGAGTGGCTTACGAGATTGTTTGCAAGCTTTATGGCACTTTCATTGTCACAAAAAAGTGGGATTTTGGTAAAGCGACATCCATAATCGTTGAGGGTTTGCTTCATCTAAAGTAGTTGGGCACAGCATACACCGGCCGCCACATACTTGGCTTTAGCGGTAGAAAGGGCTATAGAATTTTGCTTCTTAGAACTCCAAAACACTTGGAAGGGGTTATCAAAGAGGGCTCTTGAAAGGAAGAAGAGGACATAAACAACATGTGGGAGAAGATAGCAACCAACATTCGGAAGGTGGCCTCAGAGGTGTGTGGAGTAACCAAAGGAAGTGGAGGCGAGGCTAAAGATACTTGGTGGTGGAACGAGGAAGTCCAAAGGGCTATTAAGGAGAAGAAAGAATGCTATAGACGCTTGTACCATGATAGGAGTGTGGACAACATAGAGAAGTACAAGGTGGCAAAGAAGACTGCAAAGTGAGCTGTAAGTGTGGCAAAGGGTAGAGCGTACGAGGATCTTTACCAACATTTGTGTACGAAGGAAGGAGAGAAGGATATTTATAGGATTGCTAGGGTTCGTGAGAGAAAGACAAGGGACTTCAACCAAGTTAAGTGCATTAAGGATGAAAGGGGCATCTCTTGGTGAAGGAGGATGAGATCCGACATCGATGGCAAGAGTATTTTGACAAATTGTTCAATGGTGAGAATACGGACACAACCTTTCAGTTGGATGACTCTTTTAGTGACACCAATAGGCGCTTTGTGTGGAGAATCCAAGAATATAAGGTCAGAGAGGCGTTGAAAAGGATGAAATGAGGTAAGGCGATGGGACCGGATGGTATTCCAATCAAGGTGTGGAGATGCCTCGGGGATATAGCTATAGTATGGCTAACCAAGCTGTTCAACCATATTTTTCGATCAAATAAGATGCCTGACGAGTGGAGGAGAAGTATATTGGTACCGATCTACAAGAATAAAGGGGATATTCAAAGTTGTACTAATTATCAGGGAATTAAGTTGACGAGCCATACTATGAAGCTATGGGAGAGAGTTATCGAGCATCGGTTGAGAGCAATAACGTGGGTCTCTATGAACCAATTTGGTTTCATGCCCGAAAGGTCAACCATGGAAGCCATTTTCTTAATAAGACAAGTTATGGAGCGGTATAGGGAGAAGAAGGACCTACACATGGTTTTTATTGACTTGGAGAAGGCTTATGATAAAATACCAAGAAATGTTACGTGGTGGGCTTTGGACAAACATAAAGTCCCAATAAAGTACGTCGGGCTCATTAAGGACATGTACAATAATGTTGTGACTAGTGTTCGAACAAGTGATGGAGACACGGATGACTTCCCGATTAGGATAGGACTACATCAAGGGTCAGCTTTGAGCCCTTATTTGTTTACCTTAGTGATGGATGAGGTCACAAGGGACATACAAGGGGACATCCCTTGGTGTATGCTTTTCGCGAACGATGTAGTGTTAATTGATGAAAGCCGGACAGGAGTGAATCAGAAACTAGAGTTATGGCGGGAGACTTTGGAGTCCAAAGCTTTTAGACTCAGCAGAACTAAAACTGAGTATATGAGATGTGACTTCGGCACTACTACTTGGGAGGAGGAAGATATTAGTTTGGAAGGTCAAGTAGTGCCTAGGAAGGATACATTTCGATATTTATGATCAATGCTACAGAGATACGAGGATATTGATGAAGATGTTAGCCATAGAATCAAAGCAGGGTGGATGAAGTGGCGCCAAGCATCTGGTGTCCTATGTGACAAAAGGGTACCACAGAAGCTAAAAGGCAAGTTTTATAGGACGACGATTAGCCTACTATGTTGTATGGTACAGAATGTTGGCCTACAAAAAGACGACATGTTTAACAGATAAGTGTCACGGAAATGCGTATGTTGCGTTGGATTTGCGGTCATACAAGAAGGGATCGAGTTTGAAACGATGATATACGTGATAGATTAGGGGTAGCACCAATTGAAAAAAGCTTGTCCAATACCGGTTGAGATGGTTTGGACATGTCCAACGGAGACCTCCAGAGGCACCGGTGCGTAGTGGAATCCTAAGCCAGGATAGTAACGTGAAGAGAAGCAGAGGAAGACCAAAGTTGACTTGGGTAGAGGCAATAAAAGAAGACTTGAAAGGATGGAATATACCCAAAGACTTAGCCTTAGATAGAAGTGCATGGAAAACAGCTATTCACGTGCCTGAACCTTGATTGTTTGGGATTTAAAGGCTTTGTTGTTGTTGTACATGCTTGTAATTGATATTTATAATCCATATATGACCGTGTAGAGACCCAGAGATGCAAGTGACACTTTGTTCACAACTAGAGATGCCGATCATCTTCCAGATGTGACGCAGAAAGACCGTCCTGGCAAATCTTGAGTTTTTTCCGCACCCTGCTTCATTGTGATATTGAAATTTGAACTATCCTAATTGGCGGTCTATGGCCCAAAATAAACGAGTTTGTCTTGTATCTTCTGAGCTGCAAATTTCATGTAGCCCAAATTTTGCATTTCAGTCACTGGTGCTTAGAGGTGGTGTTGTCCAAGCCAGCGCCAATACCCCCAGACTCAGGCTTTTGTACCAGAACGATTCTGCTCAGCACCAAACGCTACTACTTGTTAGGGTTACAAAACAAGCGCAGGCTTGAGTACTAGAATGACTCTGCTCAGAACCAAACCCTACTGCTTGTTACGGTAACAAAGCAAGCCCACTTCACAAGCAGGCACAAGCAGGCACTATCTGAGCAGGGGAAGTGAGAAAGGTTATGTTACATGCCTATATCCAATCAGGCACTATCGGAGAAGGGTAAGTGAGAGGGGTTCTGTTACATGCCTATATCTCTTTGGACAGCAGGGGAAGTGAGAGGTTCTATTACATGCTGATATCTCTTTGGAGGGATCAGATAAAATTGGAACAAAACAAAAAAAGTTACTGCAGCATTATCAGTACCATGAACACACGACAGTGGAACAACACCTTCATCTTATAAATGATTCATTGTATAAATGATGCTTACACGTACTCAAGATCCTACCAGTAAGAATCAAATATCAAACCACACAAACAGTAGGTAACAGAAAGTTCAAACCTATAGCAAACTCAAACATGCCCATAAACAAGTTTTTAATGTGAGACATGTATTAAAATCAAAGCAGCAGTGCATTCTCTCATCATAGCACTGTTCTTGTTTTAACAACTGCATACCCATGGGACAATATCCACGTTCTTTTGCAAGCAACACGAGGTTAGAAACATTTAGTACTCCTGGAAAAAATTTTAGTCAGGCAACAGAGCAAATATCAAACAAGAGTAGTACAGGATAGACGCAAATTTTGATAACTTCTTGACCCAGAGTTTGAGCGGGGGAGAATGAATACTCTATGTTCATCACTTGTTCACACTCACAAACTCGTACTCAAAGGAAAAATTACAGGGGGGCAACAAGGTTATTGCTAAGAAACAACACACACTGCTCTTCATTTAATAAGTTTACCTTGATTTGCTTGGCAAACCTTTAAATGGCTAGTATAATGCAACAAGTTCAAAGATAAAGACACATCAACAGAGGAAAGGCTTGTATTATGTGCAGCAAGTTCAAGAGAAGGCTTTGCAATGCAATGATCCCTCCCTTGTGAATCAGATATGTGAAACCAAAGTGGGGCAAAACTCAGGTTTAATGGCAACATTATTTGGATCCATAGGACTAACAGCTAGTTGACTAATTTTAGTCCTTAAGGATCCAAACAGACAGACTAATTGAGCAATTGTTAGTCCACTAGTCCACAAATATAAGCTAATAGGATTAGTTGTTAGTCCTAGACCATCCAAACAGACCCTAAGTAGCATCAAGCAAAAGAATTGGAATTTAGAAAAACATGTTTTGCAGCCAAACTATTGTACAGCAATATGAAAATTTACCACTTACTGAATGACTGAAGAATGGAATAGAAATAGTTGACACATGTCGACAATCAACATGACATATCGACATCCTTAAAGTTACCAGATTGCACAAAAAGTGACAAAGCTAAAAAAGAAAGACAAGATAGAAATTGCCCATTTTAACAGGAATGATGCCCAAACAAGCAGTTACTCAATAGTCCACCAGACTTGGTTATTCAAGATAACAAAATCAATAGTTAATACACATGCTTTCAATCACTAGTATCAAAACAAATAAGTTACCACACTGATAAATATTGAAGACGAGCAAGCTAACCCACTGATAAATACAGAAGATGAAGTTGGAACTTTCAGTGGCTTGATACAGAAGCATTTGCTACTTGATTTCAATCAAATGTTGATGTTAATTACTAGGTAAACCTAGCAAGATGAACACACAACACAAAGAAACATGCATTCAAGTGACTAATGGGAAGAATAGCCAGGAGAGAAGGCATATCATAACAAGCACAGGAAATCATCAGATCAGCCATATATTCACTGATGATAGGTTTTGTTCTCCATTTTTCTCATTCAAAATCTTGTTACTTAATAACTACCATTACTCATTCAATGGGCGGAGTAGCAGGTTTGATCTCCACTTCCCCAGGAATAAGCTCAAACAACACACCATCATACAACTTGACAGACTCCTTTAAGTACAACTGCTTGAGCTTCATGAAGCACTACAGGGTCAGCAGCGAATCAGAACCAGCCTGGTGGCCGATCCCAACATGCTCGATTTTGAGCAGCTCCCCAAGTTTGCTCAGCCCACCATACAGGCCACCACCACAGAACTTCATGAGATGCTTGATGACGTACAGCACGGGAAAGAAGGTCTTGTTGAGCTTGAGGAACTCATCCAAGGTGTTGGGCATTTCCCGTCCAGTGAGCAGCCTGAGGAGGTAGCCGAAGTCGTGGGCACTGTGGAAGGTGACCCACTGGACATCGTCGTTCAGCACGATCCCGGACGACATCATCAGCTCGGCGAAGCGGGTGGAATCGACCCCCTCGGCCGCAAAGCGGTCGAAGTCGATGCCGCTGCGGCGGAGCAGGTCGACAGTGAATTGGCAATCATAAGGTCATTCTACTACTGATGTAAATTATTTCTATACCATTATTTCATTGCCTATGTTATCCCACTACTGAAGGAAGTGGAAAAGTATGGAAAAGGGATCAAAAGGTACGACTTAGACATGTCGACACTGGAGGCTATCTGCATAGTCACAACAAGAAGTACAATCGCCTTGGTGGTGGGCAGCAAGAGGTGAGATATTTATTTGTTTGCAAAATTTTCTTCTTGCAAGAAACAAAAAAATCGACAGTGAATTGGCAATCATAAGGTCATTCTACTACTGATGTAAATTATTTCTGTACCATTATTTCATTGCCTATGTTATCCATGAATTCCATAATTAAATATTTCTATATGATTTCATTTTACTTGCTGCCATGTATGCAAATTAATACCATTGGGATATGTTTTGGTGCAGGTCTGTGGTGTCCGAGAGAAGCGGGCTGAGAACATTTGGTTGGCAGCAGAGGGTGTTTATCTCCCAGTTAACGGAAGCAAGTGAAAAAAAGTTACCAGTTTGTCTTGAGACCGTCCTGCTTTCACTCATCTCCCAGTATAGGATCAGATATTTTACCCGCTTTCATTCGTTCTTGTTTTTCTTGAGAAAAATGAATATGGGACCTGACCCCTAGTCATATGTTGAAGTTGGAATGTTGGATAGCGATGATGTCGACAAAATCAGGAGGGTACATGCTTGTAATTGATATTTATAATCCATATATGACCGTGTAGAGACCCAGAGATGCAAGTGACACTTTGTTCACAACTAGAGATGCCGATCATCTTCCAGATGTGACGCAGAAAGACCGTCCTGGCAAATCTTGAGTTTTTTCCGCACCCTGCTTCATTGTGATATTGAAATTTGAACCGTCCTGATTGGCGGTCTATGGCCCCAAATAAACGAGTTTGCCTTGTATCTTCTGAGCTGCAAATTTCGTGTAGCCCAAATTTTGCATTTCAGTCACTGGTGCTCAGAGGTGGTGCTGTCCAAGCCAGCGCCAATACCCCCAGACTCAGGCTTTTGTACCAGAATGATTCTGCTCAGCACCAAACGCTACTACTTGTTAGGGTTACAAAACAAGCGCAGGCTTGAGTACCAGAATGACTCTGCTCAGAACCAAACCCTACTGCTTGTTACGGTAACAAAGCAAGCCCACTTCGCAAGCAGCACAATCAGGCACTATCTGAGCAGGGGAAGTGAGAAAGGTTCTGTTACATACCTATATCCAATCAGGCACTACCGGAGCAGGGCAAGTGAGAGGGGTTCTGTTACATGCCTATATCTCTTTGGAGGGATCAGATAAAATTGGAACAAAACAGAAAAAGTTACTGCAGCATTATCAGTACCATGAACACACGACAGTGGAACAGCACCTTCATCTTATAAATGATTCATTGTATAAATGATGCTTTCACGTACTCAAGATCCTGCCTGTAAGAATCAAATATCAAACCACACAAACAGTAGGTAACAGAAAGTTCAAGCCTATAGCGAACTCAAACATGCCCATAAATAATGTGGGACATGTATTAAAATCAAAGCAGCAGTGCATTCTCTCATCATAGCACTGTCTTGTTTTAACAACTGCATACCCATGGGACAATATCCACGTTCTTTTACAAGCAACACAAGGTTAGAAACATTTAGTACTCCTGGACAAAATTTCAGTCAGGCAACAGAGCAAATATCAAACAAGAGTAGTGCAGGATAGACGCAAATTTTGATAACTTCTCGGCCCAGAGTTTGAGCGGGGGAGAATGAACACTCTATGTTCATCATTTGTTCACAGTCACAAACTCATACTCAAAGGAAAAATTACTAGGGGCAAAAAGGTTATTGCTAAAAAACAACACACACTGCTCTTCATTTAATAAGTTTACCTTGATTTGCTTGGCAAACCTTTAAATGGCTAGTATAATGCAGCAAGTTCAAAGATAAAGACACATCAACAGAGGAAAGGCTTGTATTATGTGCAGCAAGTTCAAGAGAAGGCTTTGCAATGCAATGGTCCCTCCCTTGTGAATCAGATATGTGAAACCAAAGTGGGGCAAAACTCAGCACATGGCAACATTATTTGGATCCATAGGACTAACAGCTAGTTGACTAATTTTAGTCCTTAAGGATCCAAACAGACAGACTAATTGAGTAATTGTTAGTCCACTAGTCCACAAATATAAGCTAATAGGATTAGTTGTTAGTCCTAGACCATCCAAACAGACCCTAAGTAGCATCAAGCAAAAGAATTGGAATTCAGAAAAACATGTTTTGCAGCCAAACTATTGTACAGCAATATGAAAATTTACCACTTACTGAATGACTGAAGAATGGAATAGAAATAGTTAACGCATGTCGACAATCAACATGACATATCGACATCCTAAAAGTTACCAGATTGCACAAAAAGTGACAAAGCTAAAAAAGAAAGACAAGATAGAAATCGCCCATTTTAACAGGAATGATGCCCAAACAAGCAGTTACTCAATAGTCCACCAGACAAGATTATTCAAGATAACAAAATCAATAGTTAATACACATGCTTTCAATCACTAGTATCAAAACAAATAAGTTACCACACTGATAAATATTGAAGACGAGCAAGCTAACCCACTGATAAATACAGAAGATGAAGTTGGAACTTTCAGTGGCTTGATACAGAAGCATTTGCTACTTGATTTCAATCAAATGTTGATGTTAATTATTAGGTAAACCTAGCAAGATGAACACACAACACAAAGAAACATGCATTCAAGTGACTAATGGGAAGAATAGCCAGGAGAGAAGGCATATCATAACAAGCACAGGAAATCATCAGATCAGCCATATATTCACTGATGATAGGTTTTGTTCTCCATTTTTCTCATTCAGAATCTTGTTACTTAATAACTACCATTACTCATTCAATGGGCGGAGTAGCAGGTTTGATCTCCACTTCCCCAGGAATAAGCCCAAACAACACACCATCATACAACTTGACAGACTCCTTTAAGTACAACTGCTTGAGCTTCATGAAGCACTGCAGGGTCAGCAGCGAATCAGAACCAGCCTGGTGGCCGATCCCAACACGCTCGATCTTGAGCAGCTCCCCAAGTTTGCTCAGCCCACCATACAGGCCACCACCACAGAACTTCATGAGATGCTTGATGTCGTACAGCACGGGAAAGAAGGTCTTGGTGAGCTTGAGGAACTCATCCAAGGTGTTGGGCATTTCCCGTCCGGTGAGCAGCCTGAGGAGGTAGCCGAAGTCGTGGCCACTGTGGAAGGTGACCCACTGGACATCGTCGTTCAGCACGATCCCGGACGACATCATCAGCTCGGCGAAGCGGGTGGAATCGACCCCCTCGGCCGCAAAGCGGTCGAAGTCGATGCCGCTGCGGCGGAGCAGGTCGATGGAGTCGTTGCTGGAAGGGTCGGTGTGCGGGTCGAAGCCCCGGAAGTTGAACTGCCAGATGCAGCCCCGCCCCCCCGTGCCGCACGGCGGGAGCGCGCCTGCCCCGTTGGAGAGGGTGAGGCCAAGCTGGATGAGCTTGAGCACGTTGACGTTGCCCTCGAGGGCGGCGTAGTTGCGGTCGCAGGTGAACCGGTACTCAGCGCTCGGCTTGACCACGAACCCCGGGAACTCCGTGTCCATGGCGACGTACGGGTACGCGTCGACGACGGCGCGGATCACCGCGAACTCCTCCTCCAGGTTCCCCGCCCAGACTTCGCGGATCTCCACGGCGTCGGGGCCCTCGGCGGCGGGCGGAGGGGCAGCCATCGGAGCAGCCGGCGCATCCAAGAACTCGGGGACGCTTCGGGCGGAGGAGCGGCGGGCCGGCAGGGCGGTTCCGACAAAAGCTAGGGCTTCCAATGTCGGCGGGCGGGGGCGGTCGGTTAGGGTCAGTGGAGGCAGTAAGAGGAGGAGGAGGGGGAGGGGGAGGAGGCGGAGGCGGGCGCGGACGCGGAGGAGAGCGTTGGGCCCCAGTCTCAGCGGCGGCGAGAGCCCATGGGTGCTGAGGGGCGGGTGCCGAAGTGCGAGGGGGAAGATCTAGCGCGTCGGAATCCTGGGGAAGAAGGCGAGAGAGGAAAGCGGAGGCGGCGTGCTGGGGGCTACGGCTGTCAACGGGCCGAGCTCGAGCCACCCTGGTGTCCAGGCTCGAGCCCAACACGAACCCGAGCCAAGCTTCAAGGTCGGTTCGATGTCGGCTCGATCAGGTCAGGTCAGGATGTCGGGTCATGGTTCCATCGTTCCACTTCCATGCATTAGCATTAAGTAGCTGATCCAGCCAAAATTCCACTGACGTTATAAGTACTACATTATGGCTTAAGTTCACGTATGAGCATCAATTTGCAATGAAAATCTCAGAAAATCATTGCTGTCAGGGCTGGCTCCGCCCCTGTTAGCATCGCTTATGTTTTTTTTGCCCCCTGTAATAAACTATAATAATCAAAATAAACCAGACAAAAATAATAAACCATCCCAACTTATAATGGTTCCACATTGAGCTCTAACGTGTTAGCGTGTTAGGCTTCCAAACCTTAGTCCCTGTTCGAGCTTAATTTATTTACAATTCGAGCCGAGCTCACATTAAAAATAACAAGGTAGATCAGCGATCTTGTTAAATTGTTGGGCTCACAAGCATTAGTCTTGGCTTAAGCTTAGCCTGTATACAAGAGCCGCTCGCATGCCAAGGGCTTTTCTGGCAACCACATGGCTTACCACAAATTCCCCTACCCTAGTCACGTGTTGAGCGTAGCTGTTGAGTTGTCGTGTTCACATTTCTAACGATAGGTTAGTCTTTGGAGTCCGGCTGTTGATACGATTATTACAGTGAATAACGTCTCAGCCAACTGTCTTTTATTGAAGTCATGTTGATCCCGTTTATGACTCTACCAGTATATTTGTGTATGTCATATATTATTTCTAATTTGACGGAGTTGTTTAGTTTTGTAAATCTTTGTATAAGTGTTTTTGGTAATACAAGTTTTATTTTTGTAGGCAATATTATCATTCGGTTTCCCAATTTCACTAATAACGTTAGCCACGGACGGAACTGATTGAGTAGGTTTTCCTTTGTTTAGGCCTTTTCCTCTTGCTTTCACGCACTCAATATGGTGGAAGCATTTTCGGTTTCCTTTTACACACAAAGTTGGTGTGATACCATCTTCAGGTTTCCCAGTTTTACTCATCTTTTGATAATTGACTATGGTCTTAAGGTTTTTAAGTTTCACTCATCATACTGACCATTGACTATGATGAAGTAAGTTTCCCTTTGTCTAATTTTTCCTAATGCTTTTCTCAATATGGACGAGCATTTTTCAGTTTGCTTTCACTCACCAAGTTGGTGTGAGAACTAAGAAAATGAGCCATATTGAGCTCTAACTTGTTAAACTGTTAGTCTCACATGTCTTGATCCTAGCTAGATCTTAGTTTGTTTACAACTCAAGCCAATCTCATGTCTCCATATGTTGTTATGATTATGGTTAGTGACGTCTCAGTCATGTGTCTTTTATTGGAGTCATGTTGATACATTTTATGAACCTATTGATATATTATGTTTTGATGGAATTGTTTAGTTTTGTAAATATACTTTTTATATGTGTTTTTACTAAGGCGAGTAAAGTTTTTTATATGTGATATCATCTCTCTGTTTC